AGGCACTCGCTCTCTGGTAACCTAGCAACGTAGGGAGTGACAAGCTCAGGCAATCATGTAACGTGTCTGTTTGGTTGCGCCATCGTTGTCTCGTGCTGCTGGGTTCTTCTTCAGTAACCGGCGATTGATAAGCAGAAAATGAGTGCCCTTCATCTGCATGCCATGCAGGCTAGAATTGCGAAACATTATTGGATAATTCGCTCTATTCGCGTTTGATGTGAACACAGCATAATGAACAGGCTGCGATGTCAAGATTGCAATGCTGGAGTGTCTGTGTGTGTGTGGCGAGAGAGAGAGAGTAGGCACGGGCGCGAGAGAGAGAGACACGCGGGCGCGATCGAACAGTGGAGACATAAAAACATACTCCGTCATTCAGTCTGCAAAGTGTTTACTTATATTTGTGTAGGCCTATACTCGCAATAAAACACAACATTGTGCTTTTGTCACACTGTATTTCTTGTCAAACTGTAACCTACAACTGTCACACACCGTTTTAAAAGCAAAACATATTTATCCAACCCCTTTGTAAAACAGTCTGTGTGTTCCATCTTTTGGACATTCATCATATCGCATTGGTTTTCATTTCTTGTCCTCAAAACAGAGCACTAATCTGTTTATTTTTAAGTTACACGTTGATTAAAAAAGAAAGTGAAATGTGTTGGTAGATTATTTTATACGGAAATCAATTATTTATAATTCTGCTGAGAATAAAGTTAGGGTTAATTAAAATTAAGGAAAACAAATATATTGATCTGAAATATAGCAAATTAATTTTAAATTCATTCAGGTACAATTACCAAACATATCTCATATCTATCTTTTTATTAGTTTAATTAATAAACCAATTATATAAAACTATTATCAGTGCACTATAAATAAACTGGTTCTATGCCTTTATTAATAAAACTTATTTAAAAAATACAAGGCTTAAGACATTTATAAAAATGCCTTCTATATTTCTGTTTTGCTTTTCACTCCATTCTACCGAAATCGTACCGAACCGTGATGTCTCAAAAAAAAAAAAAATCAAGCAGGGGGCACGTACGATCACAAACCCCCACCACCCACGTCCCGCCGCGCCACTGCCACCTTTTTTACTCTGAGGAGTTTGCAGGTCTGATTGTGAATTTAGACTTATGTTTACATTTTAATTGTTTGAGTTTTCCATGGTTGTGTTGACATTTCTGTCTTGGGATTGTAATCAGAGGAAGGTTAAGTTTAAAATAAAAATGTTTAAATGTAATATATATTTTTTCTCCTGGTCCTTATTTTAAATGGGTCATAAAAAAAATCAATAATTATCGATATCGACCGATATGAAACACTGATATCGTGATACAGTTTTCAGCCATATCGCCCAGCCCTAGTTTGGGTAGTTTTTGTGTTACCCAGATCCTGGGTCAGACGTAACAACCAAATGTTTGGGTAGTTTTTGTGTTACCCAGATCCTGGGTCAGACGTATAAACCCAGTGTTTGGGTAGTTTTTGTGTTACCCAGCTCAAACATAACACAGTTTGGGTAGTTTTTGTGTTACCCAGATCCTGAGTCAGACGTAACAACCCAATGTTTGAGTAGTTTTTGTTTCACCCAGATCCTGAATCAGACGTAACAACCCAATGTTTGGGTAGTTTTTGTGTTACCCAGCTCAAACGTAACAACACAGTGTTTGGGTAGTTTTTGTGTTACCCAGATCCTGAGTCAGACGTAACAACCCAATGTTTGAGTAGTTTTTGTTTCACCCAGATCCTGAATCAGACGTAACAACCCAATGTTTGGGTAGTTTTTGTGTTACCCAGCTCAAACGTAACAACACAGTGTTTGGGTAGTTTTTGTGTTACCCAGATCCTGAGTCAGACCTAACAACCCAGTGTTTGGGTAGTTTTTGTGTTATCCAGATCCTGGGTCAGATGTAACAACCCAGTGTTTGGGTAGTTTTTGTGTTACCCAGATCCTGAGTCAGACCTAACAACCCAGTGTTTGGGTAGTTTTTGTGTTATCCAGATCCTGGGTCAGATGTAACAACCCAGTGTTTGGGTAGTTTTTGTGTTACCCAGATCCTGAGTCAGACCTAACAACCCAGTGTTTGGGTAGTTTTTGTGTTACCCAGATCCTGGGTAAGATATAACAACCCAGTGTTTGGGTAGTTTTTGTGTTACCCAGATCCTGAGTCAGACCTAACAAGCCAGTGTTTGGGTAGTTTTTGTGTTACCCAGATCCTGGGTAAGATATAACAACCCAGGGGTTGAGTTATTTATCGCGTGATTTTTTTTTTTTTTTTACGTTTAGAGGATTAAAGTTAATCCGTAAACATTAATTCATGTATGAAGTAAAAAAAAAAAAGAAGCTAGTACTATGGTAAAAATGAATCAACCCAGTATGCTGAGTTAAAAAAACAACCCAATATGCTGGGTGTTCATCAACATAACATGTGTTCTGTTCTATATTTACCCAGCCCTTGGGTTCAAACTCAAAGCAACCCAAACTGGGTTGTTTTTTACCCAGTGTATCTTGCTAACACAATCTTGCAAACAAGTGACAACAACAGTAACAACAAATGTACATCCGATCCCTCGCGCACTTTCAGCAATAAGGATCATGCATTTATTAAAGTCGGGATCAGCAGCTAAACCACTGTACGAGTTCAATATCTTCAGTTGTCTTCGGGGTTAGTATTTTATATTTGTACTGGAGTCTGCAGTGGACATTCCAGAGAGACTTCCCAGCTGAAACCCTGCGGCTGGCAAGTACCAACCCCAGATCATCCGTCTTCATACACCAGCACTGTCTCTTCGACAAGCGGAACACAAGATCCTCCTTTCCACACTCTCTCTCTGCGTGTCTGATCTCCAATCAAGCAAACAGAGTCCGAGTCTCGGCCCTCTGGGTCTCGCTCCACTGGCTTCAGCTCAAGGCTTTGACGTCAGTCTTCAGAACGGACACTGGAACTGAACCTCAACACGCTCCTACAGGTCTACGTTTCTGCCCGTCGTCCATGATCAGTAAACAAGAGTCACTGCTTTCATTACAATAAGAAACAAGTCGCTTTCCAGAACCTTCACTGTCTCTGTTGTTCAGTGGTGGATCAAACATCACGACCTTAAAGAACCAGTTGAAGGCATCTTTCACTAGTCCTAAACTAAGAGCTCCTCCTATTATGCTTTTTTTTACATTTTAATTTTTCTTTGGTGTGTTATGTTGCTGTTTGATCATGATTATTATTATGATTATAAAAATGATTATGTGGTGAAGTAAATGCTACAGAAAAACAAATGTCATTTCTAGATGAAAAGGGATAGTTCAGGCAAGTATTTAAAAAACTAATCTCAACGATATAAAAATAAGTAAAACCTACTCAACTTTTCAAAAACTTGGTGTTCCCATCATGCACTGGGGCATTAATAATTAATAAGGTTGATTTTCACTGTTTTATCATTACTTTTGTTGTTAGGTTAGGTAACTTGCCATTTTGTGACATCTGGATTCATTTTCTACTCAAAATGACACATTCATACTCAAAAACGATCTATCGAATGTTGCCGACATTGTGTATTGTGTACCAAGTATTGAGGTCTCTGTGTTCACGTGCCATGTTACTTCTATTATGCAGATACAGTATGGAAGTTATACAATACCTATTGTATTATTTACAATACAATAAGCATACACTTTAAAAGTGTGGTCAAATTCGGTATAATATTGTTTGAGTAAAAAGTTAATTTTGTTAAATTTTCTAAACTTAGTTAAGTAGATGTTACTCAATTCTATATGTAAAATAAATCAATTTAAAATAATTAAGTAATATTTACTTAATTACTTCAATAACATTTTAAGTGTCAATTAAATGTCAAATGAATGTTAAGTTCAATAGTAAGAAGATTTGACTTGATTATAACAGGTAAGTTGTGCAGAGCAGTAAAATTTACTTAAAATCTGTTAGTGCAAATTGTAACGAGGATTTTATCAAGTAAATCCTACAAGTTCTTTTTTTCAGTGTTTCTGAACTCCTGAAACGCCTCCATTGTATCTTGAGTTTCTTCCGGGAACGAACACGTCACAATATTCCTCATTATAATAATTAATGCGCAGAATAAAGGGGCGGGGCCTGGTTGAGTTAGTCAGTAGTGTGACTAACTGGCGGTTATAGAAAGGGGCGGGGCATTTCCCAAACACACTCGAAGCGCTCGACCAATCACAACACACTGCTCCAGCCGACCAATCAGAGCACAGTGTGCTTTTCAGAAGGAGGGGCTTCATAGAGACAGGAAGTAAACAGAGCGTTACTGGCAGACTGGGAAGAGAGGAGCCGCAACAATGGAGAATATGAGGAGAATAATCAACATTCATGCAGGAAAACCTGTTCTAGTAGAGCCTGAAACTACATCAAGACGTGTCTATAAAGGCACTATAAATAAACTTTATTTTAAAAATCTTGCAGTTCTCTATTGGTGCAGTTTTAACTCTTTGTGCTGCTCAAGCAAACTCTTGAAACTTGCCATGGCAAGTAATGCAAGATAAATTGTTTGTGAAGTGCCTTGAGACAAAACACTTGCTTAAGGGCTAAATATCAGTGTAATCTAAATGAAAAGTTATGGTGATACAAAACATTACACATCTAACCAGGCATGATATCTGTCTGTCTATCTATCTAATCTGCTGCCAAGGCTCACAGTTAGTTAATTATAAGATATAATATGGTTTATTGAAAATCACATTTCGAATTCTCCTAAAAGTACTATAAACTCATGTTAAATAATAGACATGAAATATCTATATATCTGCAAAAAATGTGCACCACGTGACCTTTAAAAGTGAACTAGAAAAGGCGTAAAGTTGATTAAATGTGTTAAAAAAAACTTAATAGAAACAGTGACAGGCAAGCCTCGTAATTTATCATTTGCTTTGATATTTGAAAGTAATTAAAATCTGTCATTAGACATTTAGCTACTCGAGACGCCAGACTCCATCCATGTCAACAACAACATCTGGTTCGAACTCTTACCTCAGATTTACAGATATTGTGGGAAACCGCATCCGACTGAGGCAACTTTCTTTGAAGCCACTTTCTCGGTGAGAAGATGTTGCTTGAACCGGAGAGGTTGATCGATAAATCCCTGGACGCGTTGCGTTTGAAATGAACGCTGGAGATCGACGAAGCGTCTGAAGACGTCGACAAACTCGACGAAGAAAGACGCTGTTGGAGTTTGGGGTCTTCAGAGATGGTTTGGTTGTTGGTAAATCCAGTTGTGGAGCTCGAGAACCGCTGAACGCTATTAACGTCTGCGGGCGTCGCGCCGTTTCTCATCAGCGCAGAATCCAGACTTCGAGTCTGTCCAAGTTTTCTCTTTGCGAGGGTTTTCGAGCCCGATGAGGAACAGGAGAAGACGCTGTTCATCCCTGCGATGATATGAGACACAGACTGACGCCCCAAACGCAATCCCCATGTGAACCTGACAGACTGAACAACCGATGATGACGTTTGGCTGTCAACGGCAGGTGAAAACATGTATTTTATCAGATTTTTTTTATATTCTCTCATCCATCTCTGCTATTGGTTTATAGCAGCAGATAAACCAGGATGTTTTCACTGTTCAAGCCAAAAACTCTTGAGTCAGTCAAGTTTCTCAACTGCATCTCTCTCAGCGTTCCCGCCCTCTTTCTCCCGCGCTCCGGCTCTGCCCTCCTCCTGGAAAACTGAGGTAAATAAAACATTTACAATTCTCATTAACTGGCCGTGTCGATTATGTAGTACATTTCAAGCCGGGGAGTCTAAAAGAATTATGAATTTACATTAAATACAAATATTCGTGTTGAATTCTGTTGAAGTTCGTATTGACCCAAATTGTCTTTTGGCGCATTTCACTCAGTTTGACTATAGACTTTTAAAACAAATTTGTTTGTAATAATATGTGTGTGATAATAATAATAATAATAATTAAAGTTAAAAATGATCTTAAAGTCCCCCTGTAGTCAATCATTTTATCCCTTAAAACTCATCTTTGATCACCAAAATTATATATTTAAAAGTTTTTTTCTTGAAAAAAAAAATTCATAAAATATCTTGCCTTAAAAACCTCATTTAGTATGCGCAGTTCTATAAATATGCAAATGAGCCCCGCCTCCACTCACTCACTCCCTCAGCTCAGAGATCCACTGGTTGACGATCACAGTTGATCTGATTGGTTACAAGGTCGTTTGTGACGTCAGAAACACCAGCGATTTCAAACCATGTTTTTGAGACTGTCTTTGGTTCACTGCAGTTTTAAGCAGAAAATACTCCGCAATGCTGTCGACTTATGAACTTACACATGGTTTGTCTTAAAGCATATTAAAAACACCACATTGACACATAAACAAGATTAAAAACGTGATTTTCACCACAGGGGGACTTTAACCTAAATTAATGCTGCCTTCACATGTTTTCGTTAATTTCATACTTCCCGCTATTGAAGTCCTTATTACGAGCTAGTCGCATTCAAGCTCTTTGTTGTTGGAAAGAATCATGGAGACACCAGTTTATTCTTTCCTGTGTTTTGGGAAAGTCTTATTAAAGCCAAAATGATATTTAGCAACCCATTCATTGACAACCATATAGGCTACATTCACCATGCTATTTATCTAGTCAGCTCGCTGACAATTCTGGAATTTCGGTCAAATACAGGCAATTTTTGCTGTGGATAAAATATACAAAACACTTCAAATGATTTTTATATATGTAAATATGCACTACTTTTGTGGAAAAACTAATAAAGCAGCAATTGTTCTCCCCTCCGCCATGTTTAAAGTTTATGACACACCCAACTCGGTAAATGGGTACAGGGTTGCCAGGTTTGTATAACAAAACACACCCATTCGCGTTCCGGTAAAAATATGACTTGAGTTCATGTCCAGTTTTTAACTATTAAACCTAAACCTTACGATAATTCCGATAGCACACGAAGGCAGCATAAGTGCCAAAGCAACATAGTGTCGGCCCAGATCCGGCTCACATCCGGTATGCGTAGAATCCACATGTTCCAGATGTGGCCCGGATCTGGGCCGACACTATAGTGCTGTCTGGGTATCGTTACATCCTTGGGGAATTATGTAAAATATGCTCTAATGGTGCGTTCAAGTCCGTTCGTATTGGAAAGTCGTGTTTACGGTGTCGTCACTTTCGCTGCTGCCAGACGGCGCTGTACCTTCTCTAAATTAACTATACACAAATACAGCAAGGTTTTTAAACTCTACTTCTAGAAGAACAAAGAATGTGTGTTGCTTTTTTATGCTTTTAATTCATTTACGAAGGCAGTGTGAACTTTATCGTTACATATTATATTGTTACATTACAATAGTGCAGACAATTGGCTTATTTAATTAGTTGTATCTAGAAAAGCCTGTTAATGCCACTGCTAAATCCCTCAGTATTGTGGCATTCTGCCGTGTTTCTCGCTGACACGCCTCAACTCGTAAACATTGGGCTTGAAGAAAATCCTGAGCTTTCCACTTCTTTTGGGTGGAGTAGTTTATGTGTGTTCGGTTCATTAATACAATCTTTACCACATGACTTGAATGCACCGGTTGACTGATTTTGACTTGCTTTTGTGGATACTAAAACCTGTTTAAACTTTCTTTTGACTTTCGATTAAAACGATTCCCTGCAATTTTTAGCTCCTTAGGGAAGTGAGTTGAAAATGCTGAATTGTAATTAAATTTTGAATGCACTGGAATTCAAAATAAATGTAATAATTTAGGCTATTTGCCATTTTGAAAGAGGCCTATTTTTAATAAATACTTCACATTATTAGATGACTCTTCCTAAAAAGTCACAATAACACTGTTTTCCACAGAGAACTCAGTTGTATGTCATGAAGCTTCACAGTTCTTCACGTCCACACCCAAACGCTGCTTAATTTATACTCACCAGCATGACAGCAATTTGTCCCCAAGGGTTTGCATTGATTTATTCATGTTTTGATATATTTCCCCATCAGAATAGAATAATCCATCTTAATTATAATATCATAACACATGCATGATTGCATAAAGCCTCAGATCAGTCCTCACAAACAATGGGGGCAAGGATGGATGTGTCTGATGGGTAAAAAAACCCATAGTCATAATAAAAGCCATCAGACTTTGCGTTAGATCTGCAACATATTATTCCAGAGTTTACACGAGACCCCAGAGCTTCCCGACATGGGGTTATTATCTCGTTTTAGCACAGGAAAAAGGATCTGCAAAGGCCTCTTTTAAGGCCTGTGAACGTAAACAAAGAAGGGTGTAACTGAGAGCGTTTCGGAAGATCTCCATACAGCAAAGATGCATGGATGTATACCAAACATCTGTGTTCATTATTAAAATAAAGTACTACTACTTTGGATATACCAACCATTGCAACTTAAATATGACTTTTTTTCTCCACAAAAGAAGCATTGAACTTAAATAAGTTTATTCACGTATGCTTTCAGTATACTTCTTTTAAACTAAAGATAAGAAAGTTTACTATTAGTCTACGTTTCATGTACTTCTCAGAAATATACTTAAAATTACACTTAAGTAAACTTATACTGACAGAAAAGTCTACATATATACTCACATAGATTTACACACAGTCTTATAAACTTTGATTTAAAAAAATATTTATTAAGGAAAAAAAGACACATATTAATACCTTAATTGGAACATAATAGAATACTTTAAATGCAAAAATGTACATTTACATTTATTCATTTAGCAGACGCTTTTATACAAATGAGAACAATAGAAGCTAACAATAGGAGAGCGATATGCGAGTGCTGCGACCCTTCCCAGTTTAATCAAACGCAGTACGTGCACTTTCTTTTATTTTTATGAATAGATATAGAATAGAAGAGAAAGTGTTAGTATTAATGGATCAAGTGTTGCCGAATGGCCAGGACTCAGCCGCTGGGTGGCTGCTGTATAGTATTAAAAATAACATATAAATAGTTAGAGGTGGGCGATATACCGGCAGACACGGTTAACCGGGAGATTTTGGACTGTCGTCAGTCACTATAGCGTCGTCTCCTTCATCTATACAGCGCTTTAACAGTGTAGAGTTTCACAGCAGCTTTACAGTGATAACAGGAGATTACAGTAACAGAGAGTGTTTAGGCTTTACAGCAGCTCTAGAATAGAGTTATTGTCCAGATAAAGTTAGTTTTGATTGATTCACTTCCGTTGTAAAGATCATTAGTGATTAACTATGGGGCCGCTAACACGACACCGCTACAGAACACAGAGACTTTAATGTGTTCTGGACGTTCATTCACACAGCAGTGTTGGTGCTCGAGAACGCAAACCTTAAACAGGATCCAAAGTGCAAGCGTTGAAAAATGTTGAAAAACCGTGTAAACTTAAAAACGTGAGTATGTGAAACGCTGCCGGCGCGCTAGAGCGTCTCTTGAGATCAGGGGAGTGAGGTTTACTGGACTATTAGTCAACTAAACTTAACTTAACTTAATTTATCCAATGTATTTGAATTGACCCAATTAAAATGTGATTTCAAGCTTAAAGTAAACTCAAAAAAAGCCCATGCAAAAAAGAAACAAAATATATTGAGTTGAGAAATTTTTACAGCGCGGCATTAAACGTCTAGAGAAAAAAGCCCTACCCAAGTGTGTACAATAACAGCCTGTTGACTTTGTCTATCCAGCCTAACTGAAATGACAAGTCGAGATGAAGAAACACACTCTCGTCATCATCATATCCTTCAGATCATGTCTCGTCTGAACACTTTCTGCACTCTTGCTCAACTGTTGCACAACAGACTCTGAGACATCGCTGTTGGCCGGAGACTTGCACAACGACACCATAAATATTGAGGTTTGTTGGGGAAACGAGAGTGACATGATGCATTTGGCCTTTGTTTCAGGAATACACTCACAATTAAAGACAGAAATTTATTACACTATTAAACCTAAGTTGGATCAGCCTAAGACCATTTCTTTTTTAAAGAAATTAAATCGTCCACCGTCTTAAAATGTTAATAATGTAAGAATAAATGTAAGTTTAGCTTTGATATTGTTAGTAATATTTCAGCTGAACTGACGTTTACTTGATTATCCATCATCATTTATTAGAAAAATCATGAGTATCAAATATTTTGAGGAAGGTTCATCTCTCGATCATCACTGCATTATATTTTTTTTTATCATAAAACTAAGCATTAAATATCATTTTACTAAGACATGTTATTGACAGATATTGATATTTATATGCATTTTATGTAAGTATCAGCTATACTGTTATAAAGATCTCACTGATTTACATTACAAGCATCAGAATTTCATATAAATATCAGCATTTGCAGCAAACTGCATATTTTTGCTCAGTTTGAGGCTGTTTTATCCTCCTATATGTATTTTTACATACACTTGACTAAACACACACACACACACACACACACACACACATATATACAGTCAAAACACAGTCTATTCACACTCCATCATTTCTCACATTATCAGTTTATTCACTATAGTTTAGAAAATGGTGATGAAATATGAGCAGAACTCAGTGGATATTTGACTGGTTTTGTCCGTCCTTCTGTTAGACTCTCACACATGAATGATGTTGAATATCTGTCAGCTGTTAAATTTAACTAC